CATTGGTTAGGGAAGCAGATGAATCTGGCGGTGCTTGGAAGTGGGAGGAGTGGGGATTTGAGGAGAGGGGATTCGAAATGGAGGATTGTTGATACTTTTGGAGCGGCGTCGGTGGAGCCGTGGTTGGCGGCGCATGGAGATCCATCGAGGTAATGGATTCATTGTTGATATTGGATGTTATTACAGTGTTTATTATTGATTATTGATCTTCAAGTTCACAACTTCAAATATTGTTACTATTATTGAAACCTAATATTAAAATCCTTTAGACTAGGAAACCAGTTAAGATATCAGCAAGATTTTACTTTTAGATGCTATTTGCATTATCTATGGAAAATAAGTCAGTGTAAACCATTTCACGTGAGTTCTATATTGAAGTCATTTAGTGCCAATGTGTTTTTACTTATGGACATTATAATATTCAGTGCTTTTGCTGAGAATCTCATCTTCATTTACGCTTCCCCAACAGAGTTCTGCTGAGATTCTAAATCTTAGTCATTAAAGCTTCTAAATGTGATACTGCATAGTTTCAACCAAATACTAGAAATTCTTTGTAAATCTGTGGTCGTTTAGTAGGCTATCACTCTACCTAGACAAGTCGGCGTTTTGTCTGGTTAGTCTCTGATTTCTCTGTAAAGAAAGCCAATTCAAAAGACTGACCAAAATGCAACTTACATGATAAATATGCTAGGACATGACTTTCTTGCTTTTAATCTGCTTTGGTTGTGGCCCTCGTACGAAGTCGAACTCTCTTTGATGATTCTCATTCATGTTTTTTTCTTTATTGATTAAATTTGCTTGAGCTGCCTGATCTCTTTCTTCCAGGAGTTTTTCTCTCTCTTTTTGTCATATCCTATCCTCTTACTCTTTTTCCTGGTAAAGAATCAAGTTTTGGTCAAATGATGCTGAATCATTTGTTAGCCTGGCTCCATCAACTCTGACAGAAACTTGCTTAAAGCGGCTGAAGTCAATTTAAATCTTCAAAGATTCAAAATTTAAGACGTTGATAGGAACATTGCACTGCATTCATGAATCTCTTTAGGCATAAACATACACATTGCGTTCACTTTTTTAATGGGCAAAGGGAGCTTATAAAGTGGTTTGTTTCTTCAATATGTTGTGGAGCGTCTACCTTTTTCATCTCTGTCTCAATAAGCAAGCTTACGGTCAAAGTGACAGCTTCGGGCTGTGAGCTTCAACATGCTCCTTCTATGCTTAATAAACTCGTATATCATTTGTGTAGATTGATTTTAATTGTATGTCTTTACTGGTCTATTGGCTTGGTTAAAAAGCTGTCAAAAATATGGTTGCCGCAATATTGAATAATTATGTCTTTACGCATTATTATATACTGTATGACTATATACAAGTTAAGGCAATTTCTTGGCACTGCCCCCTTTACATAGTAAATTTTGAAATCGTCTCCAGTACGACGGAACTATTCCACATGGTATAATTCATGTTCTCACAAGAATTTGTATTTCCCATATGCATTTATTATTCCTGAGCATGTGGCAATATAATTTAATCATGGACCGATCGACTTCGTTGAGTATCATCTCCTGCACTATGATTGAAAGCTCCTCCATTCATTGCTGGAATTGCTGAGTGTTAAATTCAACTAGCCAGCTCCACCACATTAGAGCGCTTAACAAGATTCCCCTTCGTTCATTTCAATTTGTGTTGTTGAAAAATATTCTAGAATTATTACTCATGGGGACTGGTAACCTTTTCCGGATGCAGTTATTTAATGCCATATGACCAAGTCATTACACAGCCTTAAGGTTCTCTGTTAAGGAGTCTCGACCTTGTACATTTTGTCATCTCGAATTGTGTCTTTCATGTTTGTCTATTTTGTCCCATTTCATTTGGTGGTTTGTTAAGTTCATTGGTATTCTCATAATTAGTAGTTTTCCTCAAGAGAGTATAAAAGGGACTGTTGAAACTTGAAAGTTCTTTCCCCTTTTTTTTCACTCAAGAGTATTGAACTGTTACTTGTCTCAACAAATTTCCATCTGAAATGTAAAGTGGCACCTCTCACAGCCACCACCCTGCCTAAAAATTAATAACAATGAGTTATGGGGTGGCACTTTCATATGAATAACTAACTTCCTGGCTGATTCCATCTCTAGTTCTCATTCTTAGGCTCCAAACAGGGATTTTTCGGGAAGGAAATTTGACTTCGTCATGTAATTAGTTAGCTGGAACATTTTATAATAAAAGAAATGGTTTTCTTCTATGTGAATGAGAACTACTTGATTTGCCAATGTCATGAGGTCATTGATTTGCTTCATGCTGAGAGCACTGTGATTTGAGGCCACAGCGTAATTCCTTGTATCCTGCTTACTGTTCTCTCTCTCTCTCTCCCTCTCTTGCTTTCACTCTCTTCTCTTTGCTCCCAATTAGTAGTCCTGTTGTCAGCTGTGAAAGTTTTTTCTATGATGTTCTTCCATCACGTGTTTGTCAATATCTTTTTGTGGATCATCGGTGTGTGCCTTATTCTAATTTGTCTCCAGCTTGCATTACATTTTAACATATGCAGAAAGATTGTTTGTTTTTAAGTGTAGTTCAAACATATCTTCAGGTATGATTGAAATTTTTATTGAGTAAATCCGAAGTAGTACATGAGTTAGTGCGGTCTTATAAAATAATATATCTGAATGATTGCTAGCTGAATGAGATGTAAAACATAAAGTATAAACCTAATGCCATGAATATAGAAAACATACACTTAGGCATAGAGCACAAAGCGGTGAATAAAGTCCTAAAGTAGGAGATAAAGCATATTATGACACAATTAATGGTATAACTCCGCTACTAACTCTCAGAGCACAGAAGACAAATATACAATAATAGATTAGATATTAAATAGTAAATAACAAGTTCTAAGTACTAGTTGCTAATAAATTCTGGTTAAATTTAGTTCTATAGAGGACCAGAACTAGACATCAGATATCTAAATAGATGGATAGTCATAGACCATTTATGTTGTGAGGATGCACTTCATCAAAACGAAGTATATAAACAATTGGAAGATATTTAATATGGAATCACATATAACTGAAGATCACAAGGTACATATTATTAAGCAATTAAGAAAAGAAAGAGAAGATGGCATAGAAATGGGGCTGCATTATCCTCAGCATCCCTTCTTTCTATTGCATCTGTATCCTATTTCATCTCCCCTGTCATAATATACCCCAAAGGAGTACATCATTGAAAACTGAACAAAACAAGATGTTTTGAATAACCCCCTCCTGAGGATGACTTAGGCAGGTCTCTTCGTCGCTCAATTGGATTCCTTGGGCAATTTCAGGTGAGCGCCTTCGTAACATGTGGACCTCAGCTAGTGGTTTGCTAGTGTGTTAACCTGAAAACTGTGCTCATGCACTCTGTACTAGTGCAATAACAAGTGAAGAGGTCAGGCCTTGGAATGCACTAACACTGGGTGACATTCAGTGGTGTCAAGTGAGGGAGATGGCTTTTAACAGAGCTGATTGAGGGGAAAGAATTCATGCAAATTCAAAATTTTAGTAAAGGTGCTATTGTCATCATTGTTACTGTGAATCATAGGATTTTTTGTATTTATTATTGTGGAGCTTAAAGAAGTTCAATTATTTCAAGACGTATGCTATGGAAGAGTGGAATTTGGTGATCGTTATGCTGCATCTTTCTTGCATCATATTCCCTGATATTTCTCACTTTGCCTTTTCATAATTTACACTGATTACTGAAGTGTTCTATCTACATGTTCTCCTTCATCCCAGTCTTCCCGGTCAACCTGGAGTTTTTCTTCACTATTTAATCTTGCTGAAAAAGGTTCCTAATATCTTCATCATGGATCTGCTCATAAGCTGGACAATTTCTTTATCTATACATTATAATATTAGTTTTCATCATCCTTTTTTTATCTCAAACTTATTAAGGTTGCCTTTCTTGTACTCATAACGGGAACCCTTATCTGACTTGGTAACATTACGTTCATTTCTTTTTCTTCTGCTTTTCTCTGTTTTTTTCACTTGAACTAGTTTTTAGCGGTTATAAGTTTGGTATCTCTCCTGTTCTGCTTTGTTTATTTTCGACACAAAACATAGTTCTTCTTGAGCAACTAGTTATCTTACTATACAAAGCAATATTTGGCATTTTACTCCAACATCAGAAATAATGATCTCGGAAGAATATAGATGGATTCATGCATAGAGGTAGAATTACCAAATTGTTACCCTAAGATTGGCACTGTTTGAATTAAACTAAGCTTAAATAGATTATGTGGTACAATATGACTAACGATCTGACACAGTCTGTCTACTTAAGATTTACTAGTGCTTTGTTTATTTTCCACACAATAAATAGTTCTCACTGAGCAACTAATTACGATGCCATGTAAAGAAATATTTAACATTGTACTCCAATATAAAAAATAATGATCTTGGAAAAATAGAGATAGATTCATGCATAGAGGTGGAATCACCAAATTGTCCACTTAAGATTGGCCCCTTCTAGTTAAATTAATCTTAAATAGATCATGTTGTATAATATGACTAATGATTTGGCAGTCATCTTGTGAACTAGATATGTTGGGGATAAGTTAAACAACTTACTTTTGTGAGATACTTATTTAGTTGCAATTTCTAATTCAGGATTTTGATTAAATAGAATCCGATCACTGGATTACATCTCTGGATAGAGTCAACTAGTTACAATTGTGCTCTTAATTGAGTTGTTAGGAAGAAATTATGGTCCATGGATGAAGCATGATATCAAATTAATAAGATTTGCGAGTTAGCTATAAACTTAAGGATTATGTTTTTAACTTTTTATTATGCACCTACTGTTATAAATGCTAAATATGGCAGAATCTGTAAGTGAATGGTATGATTTGGTGTCTGCGTTAAGGCTGATCTTGGATCTTCTTCAATCACGCCCTTCTTCTGTCTGACATAGTTCAAATCTCCCTTTATCCAATTTTCCCCACTTTAAAAGTCACAAGACCAGCTCCTTGTTATCTTGGAACCTGAAGTTACATTAAAACTAAGAAAGAGTTTCTTTGGATCCAATTTTCGTTTTTCCCCTTTTCATTTTCCTCTTTTCCTTTTTTTAATGACTTAGAAATAAGACACTATTTCAAAGAGCAGGCTGCAAGACATCCTTTTCTGCCCAATGATTCAGTTTCCATTTCCTTTAGGACTTCATGCTTGCTCATTGAGATTTCTTTAGTGGTCTTTAAAATTCTGGTTTAATCATCAAAAAATGGAGAGAGACACGGTCTTTAGAAATCATGAGAAGATTTTCCATTGGCATCCTCAGGCATGCAGCTATCTTGCTATACATAGATTGTGCATGAAGTATTCATCTCGATAAAACAGTCTATGACTCTGGCAGTGGCTCATATAGTCATATCCTGTACTGGGGAAGTGCTCAGGAGAACAGAAAATTGCACTTTCATGAGATCATGGGAGCTGAGAAGTGTATAACTCTTTTTTTGGAAATTTTGCGTTTTAGATATTATATAGGCCTCTGTTTGTAGTCAAGGTGTAGGAAGGGATATTTCTTTGTTTGTGTTGTTTATACATAATATTATACCTATCAACTAATGCTGAACTAGGAATATGCTGGGAAAGTTTATAGTAGACTGCTGAGTTCTTGCAAGACTTAATAGTCATCTGGAACTCCTTGAAGGAATTGTTTTAGTTTAATGTATATGTGCTAGGAATATGTTGGGAAAGTTTATATTAGGCCACTGATTTCTTATTTTCTGTTTTGATTGTAACCAGTGTTTTCAAAGGCGCACGCCTCACTGCGCTTCATGCGCCTTGTAATGCAGGGCAGTGGCGAAGCGCCCCACATCTGATATGGCAGCGTCTTTTGCGCCTCACGTACACCCTTACTTTGTGCAGGGTGCATATAGTACACATCGTCATATAGTTTTGTTTGTTACCATTTCAATCGAGTTTATATACTTGATAATTCATATCCCAAAAAACAAAATAAATCCATTAGGCCATTTTAGTAGCCTTCAATTGAGGAACATTACTAATCCTTTGCTTGGATATTGGTCCTGATTTAACATTTGATTTGAAAATTTATGAATTTTGCTGTGTTAGCATTAGAAATTAAGGCACTATATTGTGATTTTGTAGTAAGATATCGTTTATCCTAACATATTTTCATGTAAATTCTTAAAAAACGTTCTTTCGCACTTGATTGTATATTTAGAAAAATTATGTGTGCGGTGCGCACCTCACATCATTCGTGTGCACGCATCGTGTTGTGCCTTGCGTATGTGCGCGTAAACATGCTTTGCGCTCCGCATTGTGCCTTGCGCATTGACAACACTGATTGTAATATTATTATATAGTTGAAATCAAAAGTGGGATAGGGGAGCAGGGGAGGACCTCTGGTGAGGTGTGTTGTCTGCTGTGAGCCTATGACCAAGGCTTATGTGCAAACTTCTAACATTCCATGATGTCATTATTGTGTCATAGTGATTGATTCTTCAGTGTTGGGATCTAGATGCAAGGCTCGAGGGGGGGGGGGTGTGAATAGGGTTGCGTATTTTTTTCGACAGTAAAAAGAATGAACACAGATATGTAGTGGAAAAATAAATAAAGTAAAGCACAACGACAAAGCAATCACTAACAAAAGGATTTTATAGTGGTTCATATGAATCCTATATCCACTCTTTCTCCTCATCAGGAGGGGCTTCCACATTATATGCGAGATGCCTGGATTACAAACCCAATCCAGTAGGTGGTTACAAGACAACATCCTAATTTAACCTTAAACTAGTTATCTTCACCAAACACCCTCCTAGCTAGTAACCTCTTCCTCAGTTAACATCGGCTTGAGTATGCTATAAGCCCTCTTCCTCAATTAATCCCGGCTTGAGTACGCCGTCAAACAAACACTGGTTACATGATCGTAAAAACAAAGTTATTACAAAAAAATATCATTTAAGCACAAATCAAAAAGATCTTATAGCCCTTTTATGTCAAACTGTTTTTCGAAGGATTTGTAGTGTTGATATTGGAAGAACGATGTCAATGTGATGCGAGTGCTGGTTGCACTTCACGAAGAACACGATCTGATGATGTAGCTCACTCCAAGGATGCAACAAAAAATTCCAAGAGGCGATGACAATTGAGATTCCTTTCAAACCCTAGAAAGCCTTCTTTTTCTTTTTCACAAATAGGGGTCTCTAATATCTGCAAGTACTCCTCTAAGCTGTAGGAAAATACCCCTAGAGATGCACATCTAGTTATCCCAATGAATGGCTCAGACTGTATCTTGAAATAACATCTCAAAAAATGAGTTTGCTTCAGGCTCATTGATTAGCAAAGATACTCATCGATAAGCCATCCTCATCGATGAGTTAAAATACACATCAATGAGTGTATACTATCTGGACTTTTGATTACATTGACGAACAAGTGTGATCAATGAACTTGGAACCCTTCTCATCGATGAGCAAGGATACGCGTTGATGAGTATCTTTGCTGAAATTGCTGTTGAGCTGATTTGACCATAGTCTCGCTAAAATACTCATATCTTAAGCTATACACCTCCAAATCGAGTTTCGTTTGTTTCTATAGATTCATAACAAAGAGCCATACACTTCCATATGCTCGAAGTTGATTTAGCTTCTGATATGTTTTCAGGATTAACTGTGATTAACTTGTTGTCTTGCATCACTTTGTATAACCTGCACACTTCATCTCGAAACGCTATCAAATACATATGAATGTTTGCTTTTGATCAAACCGAGTCGATTGCATGGACACGGTCCCAAAGAGTATTTGCTACTCTGCATTGCTGCTGGTGTGTGTTATACCTGCACTGATATGCAAGAGCTGCCATTCACTATTTACTTGCATGCAAACTTCTTTCAGTGCTTTGTGCATTTTCCCTGAGCTTGCAAAAGAAAACAATCATTTATAATTTCATTGATTCACACATAGACGTGGTGTTGTATTTGTCTCATTTACTTTAAGTTTGAATGCAGTTTCCTCACACTAAATCCTATTGTACAAGAATTTTCTTGGTGGCACCGGTTTAAAACAACTCCTACCTACCCACTAGCAATCTAGGATTTATGACAGGCTCCTCAGTTGCACACGCAACTTGCCTTGTACCAAATATAGCCTCCACTTAGACTATCTGGCTGTTAACTTTTTGCGAAACCTTTTGTGAAGCCTTATTCTCCATCAATAACTTTATTTTGTTAAGAAAATATGAAGATAACGATATTATGCTGTACTAGCATTGAACCTAATATTGTACTTGCTGTTACATGAAACAGATGTATTCTCCTTGGTGTGAGCTGTGGAGCAAACATTGCAGACTATGTAGCTCGAAAGTCAGTGGAGGCTGGAAAACTCATCGACCCTGTGAAGATTGTGGCACAAGTTCTCATGTACCCTTTCTTCATTGGAAGTGTCCCTACCCACTCCGAAATAAAACTCGCAAACTCCTACTTCTTCGATAAGGCCATGTGCATTCTTGCATGGAGACTCTTTCTTCCTGAGGAGGAATTTGACTTGGATCACCCAGCAGCAAATCCTCTAATTCCCAATAGAGGCCCTCCCTTGAAATGCATGCCTCCAACTCTCACAGTGGTAGCAGAGCATGATTGGATGAGAGATAGAGCAATTGCGTACTCTGAGGAGCTTCGAAAGGTTAATGTTGACGCGCCTGTTCTAGAGTACAAGGATGCAGTCCATGAGTTCGCTACGCTCGACATGCTCTTAAAAACACCGCAAGCTCAGGCTTGTGCTGAAGATATTGCTATTTGGGTGAAGAAATATATATCGCTTCGGGGCCATGAGTTCTCATATTAGATAGGGTAGGATTGGGATGTACTAGTTTTGAATGTAATTGTTATTTTATCCACTTTGTTATGGCTCTTAGATTTTAGAATGTAATCATATCTTTATTTTTTTGTATAATGTATGATATGAAGAGTAAGGTCAATTGGATCTGAGGCTGTTTCTTTTTCTCTTGAGAGGCCATCGAGAGTGTCCATTCTTTCTTTCTGTATCCTGAATAGTCTGTAGTATAATACTTGAGGAACCGGAGTTGAGAATATGATTAAAGCTGTCAATTTTCCGTTTTGCGTTATTTTAATTATTATTGTTGTTTCATGCTATTATTTGAATTGCAGGCCGTTGATTCTGGGTCCAAAAAAGAGTATTTTGTATGAGTGATTCTGGAACGTGGTTTAACAGGTAGGATAGTGATGTATTCTGAGGAAATTTATGAATCAAATTGATAATTTTTTTTTACTAATCAGGTTATATATTTTTTCTCTGTTTCTCTCTTTTTGTTCATATTACCGAAAGTTTCTGGAGTCCGGAGTTCAAACGTAAAAGAAAATAAAACTTTCATTTTGTATGTATTAGCTGGTTTTTGCTGTATAACTTTTACTACTACTGAATTTCAACTGAAACTTACCTTTGTTTTCAATGAGCAGTAGATCGGTAACTTGTTGCTGTAACGTTGGTGCTTACTTGAGATAAGTGAAGTTTCAACAGGTGCTAAGAAAGCCAGCAGAGGTACAGTTCTACTGATCTTCGTGGACTTCCATTGTCTCTGTTAATTTTTTTTATTTTCTCCATGCTCTTTTGAATTTGTAAAAAGAGTCTATTTCCAGCTTGTTATATGCTGGTTTCGGCTATTAACCCTGCCTCTATTTTGTCCTAACTTGAGACAGGCTTAAGAGAAATTCACATTAATGTGTTTATTTTCCTTTTTTTTTTCAATTGTTTATTCTGGGTACAGAGGTTCAAATTTACATAGGTATTTCCTCCCTTGTAGGAGGATATGCGTTCCACTTTTGTCCTAAACGTTTAACTTATTAGATTCCAGAGAACATAAATAAATGTGTGTGTTACAGAGGTTTATTAAGTAACTAACTTTAGAAAATAAATACATGTGAATGCTTCACGAAACAATTACATCACGTTAAAAAGCTGAGGCTGTTCCAAAAATTACAATCCAACTAATCACACTAGGATTTACTAAAGGGGGGAAAAAGAAAAAAAAAAGAAAAAGAAGAGAAAACTAATCACTCTAGGTAATTTTGACGCAAAGGAAATCAAAATAACCTGCCTAGTGCATGCCATAAATAAAAGTGCTTATCTATGTAAAAGATGTTCATGGAGTTCAGAACATTGGGCTTGTTTGGATTGAGGGGAATGAGGGTGAAGGGAAGTTAGGGGAACCATTCACCTTGTTTGGGAACACTTAGGAGGTGAAGTTAATTCACCCTAGTTCCCCTTGGTTCACCCCCTAATAGTATAAAATTTGTTACCCCCCAAATTGGGGTGTAACCAAGGGGAAGGGAACTCTCTTCCCTTCCCTTCCCTTCCCTTCTCTCAGGGCCTGTTTGGATTTGTAGGGGGTGAAGGGAAGTTAAGGGAAACTGAGTGAAGGGAAGGGAAGGGAAGGTAAGGGAAGGGAATTCCCTTCCCCTTGGTTACACCCCAATTTGGGGGGTAACAATTTTTATACTATTAGTTTCCCTTAACTTCCCTTCACCCCCTACAAATCCAAACAGGCCCTGAGAGAAGGGAAGGGAAGGTAAGGGAAGGGAATTCCCTTCCCCTTGGTTACACCCCAATTTGGGGGGTAACAATTTTTATACTATTAGTTTCCCTTAACTTCCCTTCACCCCCTACAAATCCAAACAATTCCCATTTCCATATATACTGTTCTAGCTCACTAATACTCGTAACCTTTAATATTGGAAAAAAGAAGAGAAAGGAGGATAGAACAAATTTTGCATTCCTGACCAAATTTGAGTTATAAAAGTTGTATTTGATCCCCTGACTTCTTATTTGCACGTCTACAAATTTTTCTATCGTAACGAAATAATTTTCATTCGCCCCATTTCCTGGTGTGCACCCTGCTCCAATCTTTAATCTTGTCAATTCTTCTAAAAGTTACTCTTAGAAGTATGTTGCAAATTCATGTGAAAGCATTTCCTGTTGCCTTCTTGTTTTGTAGTCAATTTCATTAGTGATGTCATGCTTATTAGAGAGAGGTTTGAAGAATTTGATCACCATTATTTCTATTCATACCTTGTTTACAGATGTAGGCCATTTAGCTTTGGAAAACATAACACTTTGTACAAATTACATGAAGATATCCATGAGATATTTGTGATATGCCGCTGATACCTCTACTTCTCTTGCTTTTACCCTGCGAGCATGCTCGTTAAAATTCATGTAAATGCTCGACGAGGACCCTGTGCAAGATGTATATGCCCGAATTCTATATTAAAAACCTTGTGTATTATTAATTAAGGTCCACATCATTACTTTCTTCTGGATAAAGTCTATAGGCTTATATTATAAAGCTCCCTGAAGGTCTCAATCAAATGCAAGTTGCTTTTTGCGAAGCTTCTTATATTGGTCTATTATTGTATTCATATGCGTGATAATGACCTTCTGATGAGCATCTTTTTCAGGCAACTCATAGTCAATGGAATCTCCGTTGAAACAAGAATATCCATATTCCTCCAAATTAAGCATAACCACAAAGACAGACCAATAATCCCATTTTTCAACATAATTTCTTTTACCCGCACAGACTATTTATCATCAATTGGATTTTATTAAACCTATTACTTTTACCAGAGGTACAAGAAGATTGTCGTAATTCACGCTTCAAAAATTAAACTACTGATGAAAAAGACAGTTAAACATAAAATTTCAATTATACAAAACATACAGACTGCTACATGGAATCATTATATCAAGTATTGGACGGTCTAAATTGTCCTATTCCCTCTTAATATTCAATAATGTCAACTAATTTACCTGTAAATTCCCTTGATGATCAACGTGATACCTGACAAATAATGTGGTTCCAATAGTCTTGGAACCAAATGAATTGGTCATTGCCATTCTATTGCTCTATGCAGGAACTAAAGGAGGTATGATATACAACCGTATTCTTTTTCATTACTATAACAAGATCCTAAACTTAATTAATTCTGCTAAACTTTGCTCTAATCGCCATATCGCCATCCGACAGTGACAATTCATCAGTTTCTGATCAAAAAATCTTTTCTGAAAACTACAAATAACATCCCATGCATTACTACATGGGGGTCGTTGGATCTTGACATCAAAATCACAAATTGACAACTATATGAAATGTCTCTTGGCTTCAATCTGCAAACAAATTACTATGACGAATGTGGGTATCAGAATGAACTTTCATTGGCTCCATTTAATTCCTCCTCTAATTATCTCCTCTCAACATGGGCTCTTCCATCAGCAACAACATTCTCACCTCCATTAGAGTCCCCAAGGCAATGCAAGAGGCCTAGGCCTGACAGCTGGCAGAGATTTCGAGAGCATGTCAGCTCCTACAAGCAGAAACTCTCAGCATTGGAGGCTGTTGAAGAGATTGCAGAGTCAGAAGGAATCAATGAAGAATCTGCAGGCAATGCTGGAGATGGAATGAGACTTGTTCAGCTTCTGATCTCATGTGCAGAGGCCGTTGCCTGTAGAGACCGTGCGCAAGCCTCACTTCTACTGTCAGAGCTAAAAGCACGTGCGCTGGTGCTCGGAACTGCATTCCAGCGTGTTGCTTCTTGCTTTGTGCAGGGATTATCTGACCGCCTCGATCTGCTGCAGCCTCTCGGGGCTGTAGGCATCACTGTCATTGCTTCGACAGTCTCTGCCGCCTCTGAAGAAAAATCTGAGGCCTTGCAGCTGGCATACGAGCTGTGCCCGTATATCCCATTCGGGCATTTCGTGGCCAATGCTTCAATTTTGGAAGCCTTTGAGGGAGAGAGTTTGGTTCATGTTGTGGACCTAGGAATGACCCTAGGCCTGCCTCATGGCCAGCAGTGGCGTAATCTGATTGACAGCCTCGCCGGTCTGTCGGATCCGCATCACCGGCGTCAGTATCTTCGCTGACCGACTCGAAGCCATCGGCAATGAGCTCGAGTCATATGCTCATAATCTAGGCCTGCACCTAGAGTTCTTTGCAATACATAACAACTTAGAGAACCTGAAAGCTTCAGACTTTGTTATTGAACAAGGGGAGGTTCTTGCAGTCAGCAGCATTCTACAGCTACATTGTGTCGTAAAGGAGAGCCGCGGAGCTCTAAACTCCGTTCTGCAAATGATCCACGAGCTCTCGCCGAAAGTATTAGCGCTAGTCGAGCAGGATTCGAGCCACAACGGCCCTTTTTTCCTCGGGAGGTTCATGGAGGCATTGCATTACTATTCAGCGATATTTGACTCGCTGGATGCTGCGTTGCCAAAGTACGACACAAAACGTGCAAAAGTGGAGCAGTTTTATTTTGCTGAGGAGATTAAGAATATTGTGAGCTGTGAGGGGCCTGCAAGAGTGGAGAGGCACGAGAGGGTCGATCAGTGGAGGCGGAGGATGAGCAGGGCGGGGTTTCAGCCTTCACCAATAAAGATGTTATCGCAGGTTAAGCAGTGGTTGGTGAAGATTAAGGCCTGTGAAGGGTTTACAGTTGCTGAAGAAAAAGGGTGCCTCGTTCTTGGATGGAAGTCAAAGCCCATTATCGCTGCTTCATGCTGGAAATGTTAAATGTTGACAGTATCTTTCAGTTCAGAATAAAAGAGCTCAACAGTACTTTGTTGAGTTAGTTTGTTTCAGGTTCATGTTTACTTTTGATTGTTGGAATAAAAGTGTGCTTGTGTTTGATCTTTCACTTCAGCATTAGGATTTGTCACCTGTGCAGGTTTATCAATTTGTTGAGGGTTTTTTTTTCAGCCCTGACAAATTACCTGTCAGTTTTTTTCTTCTCCATTTTGGGTTGAAAATTTCCTTTCTGTCGAATTGTATATCTATTTAAAGAAACTTTGTACTGAAAATGCAGAAGATATATGGGATTAATTAGCATGGATGATATTGTTTGAATGAATAAGAAGAAAAAAGAAAAATCTAATTGGAAACTTTCTGAGAATTTATGTGAAATATGAAAATTCCGTAGGCCCTAATGTATATTTGATAAAATTAATGGATATTTTTCATCTTTGTAGATTAATTTGTTAAAATTTAAGAATCCAATCAGACGATTAAGGGTGGCAGTCAATAATCATTGAAAAATACTGATATATTAATCTGAAATGTACTGAACTATTGTTGTTCCAAAATCAAACTTGAGGTACTTAGTATAAGGGGAGGGAAAAAAAGTTAAAATGCTTTCCTAGAGTTCATCAAACTTAGTATTCTAGATGTGTACACTTTGGTTTTTATCATGGTGGATTAAGAGTTGCGTGACTAATTTATTACTGCTTGTTTAAGTATAATTGATGTATAATATTTTCATGCACAACGCGGTTAGACGAACAGGAGTATTGGCTGGAGTCATTGTTGTTGGAAATTCGTGCTAATTACATGCAAAATACGTAGCGGAATATTGTATGTATAATAATACTAAGCATGTAGAGAGCATGAAATACAAACTAGGACCATCCTAATTAAATCTAACATGATCCCTATAATAAAGAAAGCAACCAAGAGCTTCGAAGGCTTACTTTCATAGCGTGATTCGATGGTAGATCGAACAACCCCTAGCTCGTTCTCCTTGTTGTTGTAAACCTCCTTGTAGTGGATCTCCAAGTCTTCAAGTGAGCTTGATAAAATCGGAGTCTTCTTGAGATACAAGGCAAGATATCCACCCCGGAGTACTATAAAATCCTACTACTTCCTCTTAGTCAAAGAGTGCTAGAGTTTAGTAAGAGGTAGAGCTCTCTTTTATTCTCTTATGAAAAAAACCACTTAGCCAATTTTTCATTAACCTCTCCATAAAAGAGAGAGAGCTCATATATATAGAGTGAGATATGTCATGACTCATCTCATGAGTCATGCCATGAGTCATCTAAATATAATGATTCCTTTCATGAGTCATGTAATGACTCATCTCATGAGTCATGGAAAGAGTCATGAAGAATCAAAACCATGTGCTTAAACCATGTTCCCAAACCATATCACCTTAATGACTCATCTCATGACTCATTAATCAAGTTATAATAAAGTGTGTATTTCATAAATGAAAATACCACATCATACGGTGTTTCATAAATACGATATTCTATAATTTTCCAATCATTAACTAATAAGTCATCATATGACCAAAAAATCAATGAGTTGACTAAAAGTCTGTTGGCCTTCTTGTTTTGATGATGTTTAACAAACAATTTATTACTAATGTTGTTTGTCTAGTGTTTGTGCATTCCTATGTTTTGTAGACAAACAACGTTGTTGGAGGATGGATGTATTAAGCCTACACGATCACATCCAAAGGAGGTTGGCGGAATGTCGGTGAAGCCTTGCTATTCAAAGTTCAAGATCCAAGTTAAAGCTTCATCCGCAAGATTACCTAGAAGAGCTTATTGAAGATCAAGATCTAGCTTGGGTAATTTAGTTTAGGATTTATATTATGTGTGTTATATACTCTAAGCTCAATATCTATACACACACATTTTATTGGTTTCTTCGTATATATATATAGTTATATATATACACACAAGTTTTGGTTTCTATGCATATATATAGTTATATATATACATACATAGTTTTGAGTTTTCATGTTTATAAATATGAAATCACATGTTTCATATTTACTATTGTGTTTTGGTATTTATTGCATAGAATATGCAATTTTGTGAAAATATTGTATTCTTAGTTTGTAGACTTCAATATCAGTTTATACATGTTTTACTAAGTCTATAAAAATATTTCATAAAGTTTCAAAAGTTGGTTTATGACAAAATATCAAAATATCAATTTTCAGGTTTTCATGTTTTTGAACATGTTTGCAAAATGATGATATTTTTCATTTGGGAAGTCCTTTTTGATAACCAGTCGCTGTAGCATGTTTATTATCATGTTTACAATCATTCCCCAAAGTTTTACATTTTTTGGATTTTATTTGATATTTTTAAACAGCGTTTTAAAATCAGATAAATAATTTTTCAGACCTGTCATATCTGTTTTCGGTCGACCGCACCGGTCGACCGATCATTTGATCTTTCATCACTAGGCGACAGAGAGTCTGTCGGTCGACCGGTCCGGTCGACCAAAAAACTCCATCGGTTTTTGCTCATGTTTTCCTCGTGTTGTCCGGTCGACCGACGATGGTCCAGAATGTTTTCTTCGTGTTTTTGCTCTCATCGGTCGACCGACGGAATTTTCGGAATGTTTTATAGATGAAAAGAAGTTTTTAAAATAAGTTTTAAACAAGGGTTTAAAGTGTGTTTAAGGGTTTGTTTTGTTTGTGAAGAAGTTTTCACAAGTGGAGGAGATCATCTTCTTGTTTGGGCTTCAATCTCCATCTCTCCATCTTGTTATTCAGAGAAGAATCTCTAAACTCATTTCTAGCTATTTATTATTTTGTTTATAATTTCTATATGCTAGATTTTAATTGAGTTTAGTTTTGATTTTGATTTCACTCATTGTTTACACACACCCACTTGAGCTTATTGTATTTGCATTCATAATATATTAGGGTTGTGAGAGTTGTAACATTTGAGTTGTGCTTTAATTGTGTTCTCATCCATATTAGAGAACAATTTATATTTGTTACATTGTGAGATTGTTAGGTTTTCGGTGAGCTAGAAACCGAGTGTGGTGTGAAAGTTTTCGGTGAACTAGAAAACCGATTGTGAGGAGTGACGTTGATCGGTGAGCGTTGAAAACCGATACTGTGAGGTGTAAACGTTATTCGGGTGAACGTAGAAAACCCGGTTGTGATAGTGGATTTCTCCCCGGGAGTGGGGAGCGGAGACGTAGGACGGAAGGTCCGAACTCCGTGATCATATTGCTTGTTTGAGTGTGCTTTGGCGTTCATTCATATTTATGTTCATATCTTATATCGCCATTGTCATTAGCTCATTATCTATATCATCCACTATCTTGTTTAGATTGTTTACCCTTGTGTTGTTTATATATCCTTGCATATATAGGATATATCTCATTGTATATTGCTTATCCTAGCTCATATATATTGTTGCATTTCATACTTGCTAGGATAACTTGTTAATTAGTTTTAATTGGCATATAATCAGATTAGATTAGCATAAGACCCTAATCACCCCCCCTCTAGGGCCTAACAAAGTCAACCAGTTGACTAAAAGTTAACTTTATGGGAAAATACTGAAATTCATTTCTTAAGCACATATCATTCTGATTTTACAGATACATATAACTTTTTATGTGTATCCGGTAAAAATTATATATGTGCATCAATCATACGTATTAATTCTATAAATTGTATTTCATAGAATTCAAGTACGCTCTTGGTGTGACTCTAGGGCCCAACTTAGAACTCGACAGTGGATCATATCTATAAGTACAACAGAGGTGCTAGCTACATATGAAGACTACTCAGTGATAATATTGTACAGTCTGGTCTCTTCGTCAAATCATGTCAAACTATAGAGCCTAGGGTATGGAAAACTATCAAATCCTAACAGCTCGGTTAGTATTTGTTGATATTAAACTCATAACCTTTAAGATCAAACTGACACTCAATTTATTTTATTCATCTTGGCCAAGGATTTTCAGGCTATAGTTATATCAAACAATCTTATGACATCAACCCCTATACTGGGAGAGACAAATCTCATTTTGGCATTTTAATATCTACTTATGTCTCGGGATGCACCTAACAAGAACCGTTATGCACAACTCAATGAGAACTGTGGTTAGGTAAAAGTCTAAGTATACCTATACTGACATGTAAGATATTGCACTCATACCTCAGGTCAAGAGACTACTTTGTACTATCACTTAAGAACTTCTGTTTGACAGTTAAGTATAATTACCAGCTAGACGTTCTCAGTGAGTCGTTTAGTCAACTCGTTTACTAATGAGTCACCTGTATACTGTATCTTGATGTCTCAGCATCAATGATCTAAGAGATGGATCATCGTCCTTCTAAAGTACAAATAGAGTATACACTAGTCTTTATCAAAGTAATGATGTCCTATCTCAACACTTCATCGACTATGAACATTTTAGAATATACGTTAGCGACTAATCAGATCTCTTCTTCCTTACAACCACTATCGAAATTCTGATAGTCTAGTATCATTCTAAGGACTTTATCTGTATTTAAAAAATATCAGATAAATACTGACCAAATAGCATACTATCATTTTGAATAAGGATGTTAAATTCATATAGGTCCTGTTACAATATACAATTATTGCCTCCAGGATACCTATATCTAACACTTGTAACCTTGAGTAACGATTCTTTAGAGAATTATTAGGCTTTATTCTTCATCAAATATTATTTAATGTATATAACAAAAAGAATCTTTCATCCCTCAAAAGGATGAGAATTTAGCTTCTAGAACTTATTGTGAACACGTGAAATGCAAGTGGGGACCACAAGCTTTGAAGAAGGCCATGTGAAAAGATCTGTGTGAAGAGATAGTGATAGCTAAGACGTAGACGTGTGGGAGGCTAAGGTGTTTTTTTCAAAGAATACGGTTTCAATCATGTGGGGGCCACATGCTTGGAGAAACCGCGTGAAGATTATGAGTCCAGCGGACAAAAGAGGCCAGGCCCACCTGAAATAGTACAGCTATATATATCTCTTGTAGTCAGTCATCTAGGTTTGTGCGAAGGAGGGTAGCATTTTTTTCTTTTTGGCTGCGTGCAGAGGCTGGGAAAAAAGGCATCGTGCAAAAGTGAGTTTTGGGCGGCGTGTTATT